TAAACATTGAATATTTTTGGATGGCCATCCGAAACTGCTTGGCTTTTGCAATGTGCGGTAACCCCCATTCAAATGCGTGTGAGGATCGGGCGATAATTACGACCTGCTGACAATTTTGCTGTAAAAATATTACCAAATGTTTAATTCAAAATGAAAATATGCCAAAAATATGACAAAATTGAAAAAATATGAGAAAATTTACAAAATCAATATTTTCATCTTTAAAGAAATATTTTTATGCGATTTTTTAGGCGATTTTTCTTTTCTGCCAAGAGGCCATTCTGAATTAATGAGAACTGTCGAAATCAGTTCAGCCGTTCTCGACATAAAAGAGATCTTTCAAGCATATCTTCTTTAATAGACAAATATGTCGCACATATTTTGCTATATATCCGATTTGTTGGATGTTAACATCAATGTAAAGATCAGAAGTAACCCTGTCATGGCTTTGTGATTTCGCCGCGATTTAAAATATTCGCGGTTTAATGAAAAATTTCCAATTTTTTTGCAATACAAAATATATGGTCTATTTTACCCGCTAAATATTATCCGATGACCATCCAAATTGGTAGGCTTCTTCCCCGCCCTAAACTCTAGCTACATTCGAAATTCCGCGTCGATTGGTCTATAATTGCGACCTGTAGAGCAACTGCAAAATCATGATTTTTTTCAGTATTTGGTCCATTTCAACCCCTAAACATTTGGCGATCATCTATTCTGATATTAACCCCACCTACATTTTAAATTTCGTAAAGATCGGGCCATAATTGCGACCTGTAGAGTGATTACAAATTAACATGGACAGACGGACAGACGGACGGACGGACATACATAGCTAGATCGACTCAGCTCGGCGAGCTAGGAAGATCCATATATACTTTCCTATATGGGAAACCAATATTTCGAGGTGTTACATAAATTCTGGCCCAATCAAACTTATAATACCCCCAACACATAGTGTTGTAGGGTATAAAAATTTCAATTCCTTTCATTGCGATGACATCTTTCCAAACCTAACTTTCATCTCACATTAAATTCTCAAATTTTTATTTATAATGATTTATTTGTTTAATTGGCTTATCAATATACATATGTATTTTTTGCTAATACTTCAAGTTGTGCATGAAATTGTTGTTGCTGCCCATGAATTGTATTATCTCACTGTATGTGTGTACATTTGTATATGGACTACAACTCTTTAAATATGTACTTATTATGAATGAACTGATATCAGAGTACTGGCCATAATTCATTTCCCCTATAAAAGATCTTTCGAATTGTTTTACAAACATCAGTGGACATTCTCGTCTCGAAGTGGTCGTGCAGTACAATTTTGCCTACGAATTATCCTCGCTTGAAAAATCCCAATTTCATTTAAAAAGGTATGGAAATTAAAAGAAATATATATTTGCAATTAAAGGAACAATGTGTAAAGGATATCGGAAAAAGTGTGTGGAACTATAAGTTAAGTGAATATTTGTGTCCAAAATATGTGCGAGAGTAAACTTTTGATCATATGTAAATGGATCAAAGAGTGTCTTAACTTTGAAAACGATTTTTTAGAAAGCAATGCAGTATCGTCCTTACTTCATATTGTGTCAACATTTCTAAAACTCTTGTCTTGGGCGCCATTTCAATTGAGAAAAATGAGTAAAATATTTTAAGCTGTTGATACCCCTGAGTCAATGTAAGCCCCCGAGAAGATGTAAGCCATTTTTTAAGTAATTATTTTCAAGGACATCCTGACCAAAAATCGTGAATTTTAGAATATTTTTTAAGAAGTACCTCAGCAAAAAAGTGGGATTTATAAGAATACCTTTTAAAGTTCTTCCTACAAAAAAGGTTCTCCAAAGAAACATAGTTCAATCTGTAAGAAAATGCTTTTTAAGAAAATGCTTTCAAGGACTTCCTGTCTACCTAAAAATGATTTGGTTTTTTGAGAAAATATTTTCAAAGATTTCTTCCAGATTGAAAATCACGGATTATTATAAATATTTTAACAACATTTTACATCCAAATCGTCGGTTTTTAGTCTTTATTTCAAAACAACGATTTTTATGAAAAATTTTCAAGGAGATTCCAGCTTTTGGACAAAAATCGTGTTTTTTTAAACAAATTTTTTTATAACTTTTTGATAAAATATTGTGGATTTTTAAAAACATTTTTCCAATGACATTTTTACCAAACCACCTCAGATTTTTTGCTAGGATTTCCTGACAAAATGTCGTAGATTTCTTACGAAAAATTTAAACGGACCTCAAGACAAAAAATCAATTTTAAAAAATACTCTTAACAGGGCTTTCCAAAATAAAAATCATGCGTTTGTTTAAAGGACATTTTTTAAGTTCTTTCTGAATGAATATCATGGTTTTTCTAAGAAACTTCGTCTATTTTTATGAACAAAAATTTTAAAAATCTTATGACCGGAAATCATAACATTTTTTAAGAAAATGTTGTTAAGCATCTCCTGACCTGGAATTATGAATTATTTCAGAATATTTTTACAAATTCTTTCTGAGTAAAAAACAATGATTTTTACAAATTATTCTAAGATAAAAAATTGAGGATTAAGAAACTAAATTTCAAGGACCCTCTTATAATTTATATAATAGAAATTTTTTAAGAAGTTTTTTTTTTTGTCAAGGGCCTTTAATGTTCATTTTATCAATAATTGTGAATTTTAAGAAACAAAAAATCAAAAAAAAAAAAAAAAAAAAAAAAAAAAATCTGAAATTAAAAAAAAAATCTAGAAAAAAATGGTTTTCCACAATTTTTTTTAAGAACATTTCTTAAATATTCTCTTTAAATCAAAAAGTATTAAAAATTCTGAAATTTTGTTGTTGCAAAATGGTCAGGTTTAATCCCTTTATTGTTGTTTTTATAAAAACAACGTTTGTTTATTAGTGGAGAACGATGGTAATTTTTACCAGGGGGTAAGGCAGGGAATACCTAGGTTTCGGAAAGAGCCACCAATCCTCATCAGTTCTCTTGTTTTTTGTCTGGAATATTCTCCCCAGAAGTTATTTTAAAAATAACTTCTATGACAAAAAAAACTTTTTTTACCCAAGTGTCGAGATCGTAAGCTCAATAGAACAATAAAGGGATTAAGCCTGACCATTTTGCAACAACAAAATACTATGGTATCCCGAACAAACAAGCTAACACTGTTCAATCCTGAAAATCTTTAAAAAAAATTCCAAAAAAAATCCTTGATCCTGGAAAACTTGTTACGTCCTTTTAACCAAAATCGGAGACTTTTTTTCAGGAACCTCTCGCTAAAAAATCCCGGTTTCTTTCAAGGACTTTTTGACAAAAATCGTGGATTTATAACACAATTTTGTTAGGAAACTCCTAATAAAAATCCTATTTTTTGATGGGCCTTCTGACAAAAATCGTATTTTTTTAAATTTTTTTTTTTTCAAAAGTCGTTCTTGTCATTTTCTGAAATCAAAGTCTTTTTGACTGATCGCGGAATTTTTAGAAACTGTTTTTCAGAACCTGAACCTTTTTTTAGGAAAAAAAAAAACATGGATTTTGTGACAAGAAATCGTGTTTTTTGTTTAAGAAACTATTTTCAATTACTCCTGACCAGAAATTCTTGATCCTGGAAAACTTGTTCCCAAGGTCCTTCTAACCAAAATCATCCAAAATTTTTTCAAGAACTTTCTGACAAAAAATCTCAGACCTTTTGACAAAAGTCGTGGATTTTTAATATATACTTGTCAAGAACCATCCTGAATCTTGTTCAAGGCCATCCGACAAAAATCGTGATTTTTAATTTTTTCCAATGACCTTCAGATAAAAATCCTTATTATTTTAAGACATTTTTCTAAGTCGTAAATCGGTACTAAATCGTACTTTCTTAAAAAAAAAAAAACAAGTAAAAAAGCTGTAAGTTGGGCCGGTCCGAACTTTGAATACCCTTCATCTTTTGGAACGAATTTGGCAATTTACAAAAAAATAAAATCCGTTATTAATTCTGTTAAAATCTTAAAAACACCGAATGTACCCATTATATTGGGGTCTATACGACGACGTGGACCTGCATCATCAAAATACCGAATATCGGGAGGTACCGTTATATGGGGGCTATACGAAGGCGTGGAACTGCACGGAAAATTTTCTGTCTTAGGCTATAGTAACCATTGCGAACTTCAAATATCAAATTTGAAACATTTCCGGTGAATAATATGGCGGCTATACCAAAACGTGGATATACATGGCCCATTTTCAAAACGAAAATTCCTGCAGACATAATACACATTTGAGTAAAATTGTATCAACCCACTTCATCTCGTTCGGAAGCTAGAGTGATTTTCATAGACGGACGGACATGGCTAAATCGACATAGAATTTTATGCTGATCCAGAATATATATTCCTTGTGGTGTCTAAAATGTATAATTCCATATGGTGGAGGGTATAAAAATAAGTTTCCGCGACAAAATCGTACAAAAGTCGTGCCTGTCCTGGACTGAGGAAATAAAATTGTCTATAAACCTTCTGATGTTTTCTAATCTATTAAGGATTCCATTTAATGTTCCGCCTCAACATATCTTACCATTTGTAACACATTTTATTAGTTACAGTTTTAGGGAGAATATTATTTATTTGAGTAGCATCACTTCAAGAATTACTTCCGATTTTCTTAAAATATCTCAGTGTTTGCTCCTACTGAGATGCAGTTCGCCAATAAAATAAATTATTGACAAACCCTTTCCATCTCTTGATGAGTATGGCTTTTTGTCTTTTTTAATGTCGAGAGTGCAACTTATTTATAAAAAGCTTCGTTTTTACCTCTGGTGTCGATCACTAAACAAATAAAGCTCATAACCATCTGATATTAAAAGTTAGTTGCTTGTTTTGGACGCTGTGATCAAGTTGACTTTCTTTGCGAACGGGTTTTTATTCTCTTCAAAAAAATCACAGTCGCGTACGGATTGCACGAATCGTGTCTGAGCCCAGCAAATAGAAGTGAATTAAGTTTTTTTACGAGATTTTTATTTTTGATTTTTTCGATTGTTTAATTGTTTAGAAAAAATCTAAAATAGTTTTTTTTATTTGGTGTGATTGCATTGAATTGTGTGAAGTTTTTTTGGTTTGTTGGGCCTTGATTTTGTTGTGGAAGTTATTCAACCTAGCCGATCAGATACCAAAAAAGAATAATCAAAGACTCAAAATGTTAAGGCTTCCAAGTGGTAAACCAATTTTGGTGTTGTATTTTGTCTGCTGCTTGTGGTTCGCCAGACAAATTGTGGCTGAAAACAATGTGGATGAGCCGCTGGTGGAAAAAGTTGTAGTGTCCCTGGAAGTCCATGTTAATTCGGAAAATTTCTCGGTAAATAAAAAAAAACAAACAAACAAAAAATGAATAAATAATAAAAAATTTTGAGTTCTTTTGCCTCAAACAATTTGAAAATTTAAAGATGCTGTGAAATATTTGTTGTTTGTGTTTCCAACAATTTCTTCATAGCCGTATCTGAGCATGGGCGCGTCCATATATTTTTCAATGACAGACACTGACTGCGGTATTCCCACATATGGAAATAAAACTAGTTAAGACCATTGCACAAGATATGACGACGACAACAACAAGAAAAAGCAGTAGTTTTTTTTGTTGTTTTTAATATGCAAAATGCCAAAGCAGTACACCGGATTGTCGTATGCGATTATAACTTCACAGATTGTTTTTTAAGTTTGAACTTATTTTTTGATTATTTTGATTTCCTTCGTTTATTTTAGGGATTTCAGAGGCCTAATTAAAAAAAAAAAAATAAAATGAAAAAATATGAAACATTTATATCGCTAATTTATTAAAAGAGTGTCATGTCTCGAAAAAGTTAATTAAAAAAAAAAAAACAGTCAATTTAATGCTTTGGTGGAAATATGACATCGCGTATTGAAATATTTCATATTCTGCATAAAGGAAAGACGGGCTTTTTTCAATCCTTTTTCAAAGATTGAAAATTCAAAAATGTTTATAACTGTCATAAAATACAATAGAATTAATAGATGTTTCTTAAGTTTCGATCAACACCATACTTCCACCTACAATAGACCTTGTGTGAATATGAGACTTATCGTACCTCCCCCAATGGATCAGAATTTTGAATAATTACAAGACATACAAATTGCGTTACTATTCCTCAATTGTTCTACCCTCAGCCATATGGCTAGAGAAGGTGCCATTTGATAGGGCCAAAATGTGTCTCATCCGTTTCAGAATGTTTGGAGTCCAACTAAGGGGGTTCCGCTTTACCTCTAAGAAAGAGAAAGGACACTTTAATTTTGTGAAAACTTTGCAAATCCCAATATTTTTGTAAGTGCTAGGTCAGGTGCGAAAATGGACAATATCGTTGCACTCCATCAAGTACCTCCCCCAGAAAGGGTTAATACGTGGATTAATTATAAATCTTATAAAATATGAAATAAAAGCCCGATCGTCCTCAACTTTCACACATCCCAATATTTTTATGAACACAAGATCTGATGTGAAGATGGGATGTATCGGTCCACTCTTTTTGGTACATCTCCCATAAAGGGGTCAACATTTTGAATAGATGCTCGGAAAGCGCGAAATGAGCTTTCTATTCCTTTAAAATCCGACACATATCAATATTTCTGGCAACACAAGATCCGTTGTGAAGATTATAGATATCGACCCACTCCTTTTGGTACCTCCCTCACATAGGGTCAAAATTGTGAATAACCAAAACGATAATAATGAGCGTTTTGAGGATCCAATTTTCTTAAAATTTCACGTATCCCAATATTTTTATGAACGAAATATCTGGTATGAAGATGGGATATATCGGTCCACTCCTTCTGCTACTACCCCAAAATGAGTCAAAACTTTGGATAGCCAAGAAGCTAGTAAAGCGCGAAATGAGCATCGGATTCGGCACATCTTAATATTTCTATCAACACAAGATCTGGTGTGAAGATGGGATATATCGTTCCACTCGTGCCTGTACCTCCCAAACAAAACTTTGGATAATTATATATCTCAGAAAATGCGAAATAAGTATCAGATTCCTTCTAAACTTCGCAAACTCCAATATTAACACAGGATCTGGTGTGAAGATGATAGCTATCAGCCCACCCCTTCTGGTTCCTCCACCACAAAAGGACGCCATTTTCAATACTTATATCTTAAATTACGAAACAAGTCAAAGATTATTTTCAAGCTTAGTATGTCTAAATATTTTTCTCAACCAGCAGTTTTTTGTCATAGGCTTCAGTGCCCTTTAAGATCTTCAAATACGAATCTTAAAACAATTCTGGTTTATAATAACCCTAAAATCATAAAATACCCAATATTTGAAGCTACCGTTATATGGGAGCTATACAAAGACAAAAATCCGCATAAGTAATTTTTTGTCATAAGCTGTAGTATCCATGACGAACTTAATATACGAAGTTTGAGACCAGCCTGGAACTGGTGGCAAATGGTTCCGAGCTCGTTGCTTGTCCTCATCCTCAAAGCACCTTGTCATGCCCTCAGCGATGATATTATCTATGAACTGACATTTGTTTAAAAATGCCATTTCAGTCTTTGTCACAAAGACGTCTTTCCTATCAATTTGCACCCTATCATAGATTGACTTATAAGAATTGGCTTTATAGGAGCCGTCTGCTCTGGTAGAGGCGAAAGACCAGACAAGATTTCTTTCAATTTTTTTTTTCTGATGAGACGAAATGTCAAATCAGACAGGGATCGACTAACAAGAATTGGCTCTATAGGAGCCGTCTGCTCTGGAAGAGGCGAAAGACCAGACAAGATTTCTTTCAGATAGGTCTGGTCCTCTGCCGATAAGACCCGGCACAGCGTTTTCCTACAATCAACCAATCACGAAGTACCCATGGAGGGCATCGAAGTATTTGTTAACTCGGCTTTTGACCGACCTCTCGCTAGTTAAGGGTAACACCTGATTTTACAGATTTCGAATGTTTTATGCATTTTTAACCAATTATCTGTTATTAGGTCGCTTCTGGTGTTGAAAATTTCCAAAATTTTTATCTTTCGTCAGTTTATAGATCCTAAAAAATTGGTTGGTGAATATACTAAACTTCTAATAATAGACTTACAGAAGGAAGTAATAATTAGAAACTTATATTATTTATTCGAGTGAATTTCTTACCCAACTTATTTTTAGATATAAAATTATGATGAAGGTTAGGTCTGACTCAAAATTCCAGTGATTTTGCTCCATATAAAATAATGGCGCCCAAATGTATAATTGTTTGTTAATATTTTAATATTATAAAAAACAGCGTTGGAAAATCGTAAGGCTCAATTCCATTAATGTTATTTTTATAAAACCTACTTTTATTTATTATTATAGAAAAACATAAATGTTTACCTTTTGTATCTCCTCTATAAGCTTACAATTGTCATTTGTCAACTCTAATGACATCTCCCCAGAAGAATATGACACAATCTCATTGTTGCTGTCTTTTTTACTAAATGGCAACACTGTAAATATTCATAATTTTTATAAAAACTTATCTTTCGAATGTAATTCTAAACGTTCGAATGTAATTCTAATATTAACAATTTAAATCATCATTTTAATAACGGAAATTAATTGAACGAATTCTCATCCGGAAATGTCGTGACGCGCAGTAAATAATTTAAAATTCCCATTCTAAAAAAATATCTTTATACAAACCACTGTTACTGCTGTTCCATATTTTGTTTGTATTTTAAACCAAGTCACTGGGTCTGGGTGAATGTTGGCGGGGTATAAATCTCATTCTGAGAAAACAAAGACAACAGGTGTTTTGGAATTGAATGAATTAACAGAAAATCGTAACGTGAAAGAAAATAAAAGTACACTTAAATAAATACAAAGTTATTTTTGGTTTACATAAACATATACAAATATGTGGTTCTGGTTTTAAATGACATTTTAAATGCCATTACTAATATTCCGCAATTAATTTACTTTGAACTGGAATTGCTTACTGTGGCGAGAAAGATTTGAAATAATTTAAAATTTTAAGTTTAATATGTCACATGGTGCGGGGAATTAAAAAGCCCAATCATGAAAAACAATTCCGTACGGATTTTTCCCCTTTTTTACTATAATAAAGAAACATTTCTCTTGGAAAATAATTCCGAGGGTGATAAAGGAGGTATTTCAACCTTCGACAAAATAGAATTGAAATTTAATTGGTTGAAGTTGTTAAATTTTTAGAAACAAAAATGAGATCAAACGCATTTCAAATTGCACAACAAATAGGATACTCTAAGTACGTAAAAGATGCATTCGCGTTGCCATCTTCACCCATTTTCCTATCATAAGGAAACATTTCTCTTGGAAAATAATTCCGAAGGTGACAAAGGAGACATTTCAACATTCGACAAAATATACTCGAATTTCAAAGTTAGTTTGTTTAAGTTGTTCAATTTTTAGAAAAAATTAAAACAAACGTACTTAAAATTGCACAACAATTAGGATACACTAGGTACGAAAAAGAAGCATTCGCGATTTTTTACTATCATATTTCTCCTGAAAAATAATTTCGAGAGTGGAAAAGGGAGGCATTTCAATATTCGATAAAATATATTCGAATTTTAAAATTGAAAATTAGTTTGTTTGAGTTGTTTATTTTTTAGAAAAAAAAAAAATAAATAAATGAAACAAAAGCATTTCGTATTGCACAATTAATAGGATACACTAGGTATGAAAAAGACCCATTCGCGTTGCCGTCTTCTCAAATTATATCTCCTCAATTATTCATTATTATATCTCAAGAACATTTTTTTGCGCATTTCAAATTGCACAACAAATAGGATGCACTAGGTACATAAAATATTCATTCGCCTTGCCATCTTCGCAAACTATTCTTTCTCAATTATACATTATATCTCTCAATATTATCTCTCGAGAAAAAAATGTTGGGGGGACTAGCCGTAAACTTTAAACCCCCAAGAGATTTTCTTAAAGATTTCAGTCCTATAATGTGGTTGATGTAACGTTATCAGCATTTAAACTATTTAAAAAAGGACCGTTTCATAAGATTTTTAACATCTGTCATGCTACTAATCAGTAAGTCATAACAATTACAGAAGTATTTGTTGTAAATATTCAAACGGATAACCTTTGCCTTTTCCGTAAAAAAAATGCAATATAAATAGTTGGTTAAAGGTTCTTACTTTTTAGAAAAAAAAAAAAAAAAAACAAAAGCATTTCGAATTGCACAATTAATAGGATACACTAGGTATGAAAAATACCCATCCGCGTTGCCATCTTCTCAAATTATATTTCCTCAATTATTCACTACTTCTCTTACTATTATCTCTCGAGAAAAAATGTTTTGCGCATTTTAAATTGCGCAACAAATAGGATACACCAGATACGAAAACGACACATTAGTGTTGCCATCTTCTCAAATAATTTCTCCTCAGTTAATCATTTCTCTGATTATTATCTCTCGAGAAAAATGTTTTCCATGGGAATATAATTTCGTGGGGGTATTCATTTTTTGAGTCGATTATAGTCTTGGCGTAAACTCTAAACCCCCAACAGATTTTCTTAAAGATTCCAGAGTTATAAATTGATTGATATAACGTTATCAGCATCCAAAACGTTATGAAAAAAACGTTTCATAAGATTTTTAAACATCTGGCATGATGATAACCAGGAAGTCATTACAATTTCCTAAGTATTTGTTTTTAATATTCAAAGTGATAACATTTACCTTTTTTGAAACAAAAAAAATTAATTAATTAATTAATAAAGAAAATAAAAGTAATACGCCGATGGAGAGAAAAGTCAGTGATAGCGTTCTTCAACACCGATAGGAGAAAGAAAACATATGTCAATCTTTGTATGGCCTCTATTACAAGGAAAATTTTACAACCATTATCTTATAGATGTAACGTGTTTTCTTGTCGGCTGATTGGTATGTTATGTTCAATGTTTGCGAATATCGGAAATTATAGTGTTGAGATTCAGTTTCTTGACGATTAGGAAATAATCGGCAATTTTAATGAATAGAATTTTAGTTCCGGGGATTGCGATGATGATGTTCGAGTAGTAGACGCTTTGAAAATAATCAGGGACTCTGATGGTACACGTCGAATATACGTGTATTACAATAAAGATTGTGGGTTTGTAGAAGATTTGAAGTTAATCGGAAACTCTGATGGTAGACGTCGGATGTCCGCGTATTGCAATGAAGTTGTAGGTTTGTAGAAGATTTGAAGATAATCGGGAACTCTGATGAATGGACGTCAGGTGTCCGGGGATTGAGAAAAAGATTTGATCGCAAACTCTTACGTAGACAATTAAAAGATAATCGGAGACTCTGGGGAATGCAATTTGGGTGTTCGGTTGATAGGATACTGGAGACTTGGTGCATCGGTGTTTGGGCGTCGTGTATGAGAAATAGATGATCGGGAACTCGTTGTATCGGCAATCGCAGATTAGTTAGTCGTGGTATGCTACGGCTAAATCCTTCCACATCACTACTCGGGTGGAACAGTGAGTTGAAGCTCATGTGGAACAGTGAGCCAAAACTCCTTCGGAACACTGACCCGAAGCTTCTGTGGAACAGATAAATGTTATCCGTTTGAAATACATCCACGTATACTTGCGGGCCAAGAATCTGTCACAGAAATTTATAAAGCGACTGCAGGACTTTTGGTATTGAAAATTGGTCATATAGGTCCGCGTTTTGGTATAGTCCCCATAATGGTACCTCTCTATTTTCGGCATTTTGGCGATTTAAACTACTTTATTCGCCGGAATTGTTTCAAATTTGGTATTTGAATTTCGAAATGGATACTACAGCCTATGACAGATCATTTTCCGTTCAGGTCCAATCCTTCGTATAGCCCCCATATAACGGCACCCCTCGATATTCGGTATTTTGGTTATTTAAGCTACATTATTTACCGGAATTGTTTCAAATTTGGTATTTGAAGTTCGTAATGGATACTACAACCTATAACAGAAAATTGTCTGCCCAGGTCTACGTTTTCGTATAGCCCTCATATAACGGCACCTTCCGATATTCGGGTTTTTTGTGATTTAAACTACATGATTCGCCGGTAATGTTTCAAATTTAATGATTGAAGTTCGTAATGGACACTACAGCCTATGACAGAAAATTGTCTGTGCAGGTCCACGCCTTCGTATAGCCCCCATATTATTATACCTCCCTTTATTCGAAATTTTTATGATTTTAGCTACATTATTCACCGGAATTGCTTCAAATTTTGTATTTGACGTTCGTAATGAATACTACAGCCTATGACAGAAAATTGCCTGTGCAGGTCCACGACTTCGTAAAGCCCCCATATAATGATACCTCCCTATTTTCGGTATTTTGGTGATTTTAGCGACATTATTTGAAGTTCCAAAGGGATACCACAGCATATGACAGAAAATTGACTGTACTGGTCACGTCTTTGTAAAACCCCCATAAAACTGTACCTCCCCATATTCGGTATTTTGAAGATTTAAGCGACATTATTCACCGGAATTGTTTCAAATTTAGTATTTGAAGTTCGTAATGGATACTACAGACTATGACAGAAAATTGTCTGTGCAGGTCCACGTTTTGGTATAGCCCTCATATAATGGTACCTCCCTATATTCGGAATTTTGATGATTTTTGCTACATTATTCACCGGAATTGTTTTAAATTTGGTATATGAAGTTCGTAATGGAGTTTTTCAAATTTCGCATTTGAATATTGTGATGTCTTATGACAAAAGTTGCCTATGCAGGTCCATGTTGTCGTATAGATCTTAATATAATAGTTACATTCGGTATTTTGAAGACTTTACCAGAATTTTTAACGGATTTTATTTTTTTTTTGAAAATTGCAAAATTCAATCCAAATGTTAAAGGGTATTAATAGTTCGGCAAGGCCGAACTGACAGCTTTCTTACTTGTTCGTTTTAATTTATTCGTAGGATGTCAAAGTTGCTAGAATTTAATATCACTTAAAAATGCATTTCTGATTTATAACAATTTTGCCTTAGTGTAAACGCTAGGTTCGACTAGGCTTACTAGGAGTTTTCTGGAAATTACCTCTCTATATTAAATTAGAAGGTTTTGTCTGAGTTATTATTTTCCTGGTTTGTTAAATGCAGCTGACATGTTCATGCTTTACTTACAACTACTGTACAGTACTTTTAATGAATTCACACAAAGCCTAAAAGTATGCCACAATTTCTCATTTCATCTGTTTATGGTGCAATCTATTCACACATAAAATTAACTTTTCTGTTCTCTCTTTCTTTCAGATGTCTTACAAAGTCGAACCATTGCCAGAATCCCACGCTGAATTGGGCGAAGGTCCCCACTGGGATGTGGAGCGTCAAAGTTTGTACTATGTCGATATTCATGTTGGCAAAATCTATCGCTACGATTACAACGAGGACAAGGTGTACAAGGCACAAATTGAAAATGAAACATTGGCCGGTTTCATTATTCCCATTGAGGGCACAACCAATGAATTTGCCGTAGGTGCTGGACGTCGTGTTATTGTCGTCACCTGGGATGGTGTATCGCCTGTGGCTAAAGTTAAGAAAACTCTATTCGAAGTTCAGCAGGGCGATCAACGTTTCAACGATAATCGTTTCAATGATGGCAAATGTGATCCCCAGGGTCGTTTGTTTGCCGGTACCATGAAATATGTGGGCGATGAATTCGAACATCGTTATGGGGAGTTGTACAAATACGAGAAGGGTGGCAAAGTGGAGGTGGTCAAGAGCGATGTGGGAATTTCCAATGGCTTGGCATGGAATGAAAAGACCAAGAAATTCTATTACATTGATACCACTGATTATGAGGTTAAGGAATATGACTACGATTTCGCTACCGGAAAAGCTAGTAAGTTATTTTAAGTAATCCACTTTAAGGAAATAAATCATAATTTTCCATTATTCTTTTTTCTAGCCAATCCCAAGGTGGTCTTTAATTTACGCAAAAACAGTCCCAAGGATCATTTGTTGCCCGATGGCATGACCATTGATACCGATGGCAACATTTATGTGGCCACCTTTAATGGTCACACCATTTTCAAGGTGGATCCCAAGTAAGTTTTATAGACCTATTTTCCAATTTTATGTTCATAACTAATCTCAATTCGTTATCTTTCCTAGAACCGGCAATGTTTTGTTGGAAATCAAGTTCCCATGCAAGCAGATAACCTCGGCCGCATTTGGTGGTCCCAATTTGGATATTTTGTATGTAACCACTTCATCTCGTTTTGGCGAACCAGATCCAGCTGGTACCACCTATAAGGTTACTGGTTTGGGTGCCAAGGGTTTGCCCATGACCAAAATGCAAGTTTAAAGAAAGAAAAGCAGTTTTCCAAAAAAATATAAATTTAGATGTAAAATTTTACATAGACACACATACACATACAAATATTACGAACATTTAAATATATATTTGTGTAAATAGGATTTAAACAATATTGTTTTTATATATTGACAATAAATTATGAATGAATTATAAAATGTTATGGCTTTCGCAATTTGTTGAGTAGCTGTTCTAATGCTCCATGTAGTACATCCGTATGGTAAAACAGATCTGACGCAGCTATTGAATATTTTTATAGCATCCACACATACCTAGCATGGAGTTCATCATTCCGTTTGTAACTCATCGAAATAATTATTTTAGATCTAACAGAGTATATAGAGGGTGAGATGAGATAACTGCAACAAAGTTCATACTGCTGTCATTTCTAAGCCACCCGTCCGACAGCTGTTAATATTATTCCAGTGACAGCTCATTATATTGTTTACGAGCGTACAAAAGCATTTTGGACTCAGCCCTTTGGACACTCCGCCATTATCAAGTATGTGGGAAGCATAGTAAATCAGGCTATAGCTAGCGATTATATATCACCTAGGCACAGCTTTGAACTACTTGATATCCATATACCTAACCGAGACATTTGGATACGTGACACTCCACCTTTTAACGGTATTGCTGTCTATACTGATGGATTAAATATGGAAAGGGGAACGGGAGCCGGGGTCTACTGTGAAAGTCTAAATATCCAACGATCCTTCAATCTAAACAGTGACTGTAGCGTTTTTCAGGCAGAAATCTTGACTTTATATGTCGATAGTCAAGCGGCCCTGAAGGCTCTAAATTCATTTACAATCAAATCTATAGCAGTTCTGGAATGCAGGAATGCTCTGGAAAAGGTAAAATCGTTTGTCAAACTCTGTTGGGTCCCTGGACATTGGCAATTCACATATCTGGCAATGAATCGGCTGATGAATTGGCCAGGCGCGGATCTGAGTCAGTAGATCTAGAGATTGAGAGCTCAGTGAAGCCACCCCTATGTCACTTCTTTCAAGTACTGCACACTTGCGAAATTTCAGCAAAAGGGAAGGGGATGTCATCTTTCCAAGAAGATCTGGCCGGTGAACTCTGAAAGGAGGTCAAGGTCACTTATATCCATGAAGAAACTGGACTTGAAGCTTGTGGTGGGCCTAATTACAGGACACTGCAACACAAAGGCCATGACATCTAAATGGTGGTGGTGACGATACTGAATACTGCAGGCTTTGTCAAGACGAGGAAGAAACTGAAACGGTGCCACTGACCAACTCTTATAGGAGCGAGACAGAGGCTACTGGGACTTGTCCTCCCTCTCCGACACCGAGCCAGCAACCATTCTTCAGTTAGCCAAAATACTAAAATGGCTAAACACGGCACGTTAACACACCGTAAATACAGACCTACTAATTTTTCTGCTCTATATACAAATTCTTACTTCTTCACTTTTCGCTATTCATTTCCTTTTTTTCTCTCTATTCTATTCTCGTATTTTCTTAACTAGGATGAACACAATGGACCAAAAGGTCTCCGAGTCTAGTGGTTGTTTTCTTACCATTCGGCAATTATTGAAAAATGAGCTCAGGGTAAAGCCATTGAAATTCCGAAAATTGCAAGAACTTACACCGCAACAGAAAGAAAATAGACTCAAAATAGCTAAAGCGTTGCTTCGCATGGCCGAAAATGGTGAACTGCCGAATTTGATTTATTTCCGATGAGAAAACATTCGTTGTCCAGCAGTTTGTAAACAAACAAAATGGTCGTGTTTACTTGCCAAAGAGGTCAGCTGAAAATGGGCACTTTCGGCTGGCCACCAGAACTCAAGCGCCGGGCACGGTGATGGTGTGGGCCGCCATAACAGCCAATGATCGCTCTCCACTCGTATTAATCGACCGTGGCATCAGAATAAATGCCGAATATTATCGCGAAAATATTCTGTAGGGTGTATTAAAGCCTTGGGCAAGCAAACATTTTGACCGCAGACCTTGGACATACCAACAGGACTCAGCGCCATCGCACTCAGCACGCACCACCCAAGAATGGTTACAAAATGAGGTTCCTCGCTTTATTTCCAGCGCACAATGACCACCAAAATCTCCGGATACCAATCGGTTGGACTATTGTGTCTGGAGTATTTTGGAAAGCAAGGTTGGCACTAAAAATACCGAAGTGACGATCACCTCAAGCACACGCTTCGCCGGGAATGGGCCAAAATGCCGCAGAGCAACATTCGGGCAGCGTGTGACGGTTCCGTTGGCCGTTTGAAGGCCATAATTCGTGCCAAAGGTGACCATTTCGAACAAATCTAAACATATTCGAAAATTTGATGCTATTCCGAAATTTTTTGATTTCTTTCAAAAAAAATTTAAAAATATATATAAAAATTGTGGCCTTTGACTTTGTTGCTGTTTTTTTATCACACCCTGTATTACCCAATCCAAGAGTAGACGATTAGAAGATAATCAGGGACTTTGGCAAATGTACTTCGGGTGTTCGGTCGATAGGATACTGGAGACTTGGTGTATAGGCGTTTGGTTCGGGAACTCGTTGTATCGGCGATAATTGGGTTATGCTAGGGTCTACAATTACTTCTACGTCACCACTCTAGATTTCGGTTGGAAAATTGAAGCTCCTTCGGAACAGTGAGGCAAAGTTCTGTGGAGCAGTGAGTCGAAGCTCCAGTATTCACAATGTATTCACAACTATTGATTCTCTCAGATGGAGGACGAACTAATGCTTTCAAATACAGCAGCTATGTGAAATTTGAAGAGAGTTGGATGCTTATTTCGGATTTTATGATCGCTTTATTCATTTTTTTTCAATCTTGAACCCTATGTGGGGGAGGTACCAGAAGAAATGGTCCGATCCCTACCATATTTATAACAGATCGTGTGTTGATACTAATATTATGCTGTGCCAGGTCTGATTGGAATCGGTTGTTAGATTCGCGTCTCTGAGCTTGATAGGTATTCAAAATATTGGCCCTTTGCGGGGGAGGCACCGGAAGGAGTGGACCGATATATACCATCTTCACACCAGACCTTGGGCTAATAAAAATATTGTGATGTATGTAATGTGCAGACAATCGGAATCTTACATCGCATTTTATAAGAGTTATTACTATTCAAAATTTTGACACTTTATGGGGGAGGTACTTGATGAAGTGAACCGATATTGTCAATTTTCGCGCCTGTCCTGTAACTGATGCAGATATTAGGATTTGCAAAATTTGAGCAAAATCAGATTAGCCTTTCTCTCTCTCTCTCTCTGTGCAGTAAAATATTTTCTTTGTAAAGTTCGACCTTATGTGGGGGAGGTACCAGAAGGGTGGAACGATTATCGTAAAAAAGTTTGACTAAAACCATAAAAATATCGAATATCGGTGGGTATCCGTAAAAAGTGTGACTAAAACCATAAAAATTCCGAATATCGGTGGGTATCGGTGGGGGCTATACGAAAACGTGACCCTATATGTACAATGTTCTACCACCATAGCTGGAACCAAACACGAACTACAAATACCATTTTTTAGACAAATCCGTGAAAAAAAGTGTGCAAAAATCATCGAAATACCGAATATAGTGAGGTACCGTTATATGATGGTCATACGAAAACGTAGACCTAGATATTCAATGTTTTGATACCGGAGCTAGAACCCATTGTGAATTACAAATACTAATTTTTGGACAAATCCGTGGAAAATGTGGCAATATTCCACCACGAACTTCAAATACTAATTTTTAGATAAATCCGTGGAAAAATGTGGCTAAAATCATCAAAATACCGAATATCGTGAAATACCGTTATGTGGGGGTACGTGGTCCGATATATACTATGTTCCGCCACCGGAGCTAGAACCCATTGCGAACTATAAATACCAATTTTTATACAAATCCCTGTAAAATGTGGCTAAAATCATCAAAATATCGAATATCGGGAATGACAAAGTTAATATACCCTCCTTTTCAAGGTGGAGGGTATAATGACTGAATATGAATTTATAATTTTTATAAAACCTATATAATACAAAGACTGAATTTCAAGTGTAGGGTTGTTGATTTAAATAATTGATTAAAAACTGCAGCTGATTATACCCTACACCACATTGTGGTCAGGGTATTATATCTTTGCGCATTTGTTTGTAACAGGCAAAAGGAAACGAGATAGACCCATAGTTCCTTTTGATGATCTGCATAGAATCACATTCTGAGTCGATTTATGCATGTCCGTCCGTCCGTCCGTCTGTCCATGTATTTTTGTAAACAAGGTACAGTTCGCATTTATTGCCCTATCCAGTTGAAATTTTGCACAAGTCATTTGTTTGGACCAAGGACGAACCCTATTGAAATTGGGTTCAATCGGTCAAAATTTAGATATAGCTCCCAAGTATATATCTTCGTCCGATTTGCCTTTTATTGTGCACCAAACGTGTAATATCAGTCCGAATAGTATGGAATTTTGCCCGTACGATCAGATTGGACCTCAAAATAAGTATGCCAAATTTAATCGAAATCGGTTCAGATTTGGATATAGCTCCCACATATATTGTTCATCCGATTTGTTATTTTTGTCCTCCGCAGCCGTAATATGCATTCTGCAACAGCAATATTTGTGGAAATATATCAAATACAGCTCAGAAATACATTTGCTAAATTTTATCGAGATCGGTTCAGATTTGGATATAGCTCCCATATATAACTTCGTCCGATTTATCTTTGATTGTGCACCAAACGTCTAATATTTGTCCAAATGGGATGGATTTTGGCACTTACGACCGAATTGAGTCTAGAAGCTAGTATGTCAAATTTGGTGAAGATCGGTTCAGATATAGCTATAGCTCCCATATATACTGTTCATCCGATTTGTCATATTTGTTACCCACAACCTAATATGCACTCCGTAACAACGATATTCAGGGAAATATATGAAATACAGCTCAGAAATATCTTTGCCAAATTTTATCGAGATCGGTTCCGATTTGGATAAAGCTACCATATATATTTTTATCCGATTTCTAATTAATTGTGCACCGAATGGGCAATACAAGTCCGAATTTAAAAGATGTAGGATATCATAAAGTCGACCCCGCCCGACTTTAAGACGTTCTTTACTGTTTTTTTATGTAATAATTTGGTCGGAAGCAATTAATTTTGGTCGGATTTTT